CAGGGCAGGGCTGGGTGGGAGATTGGGAATCAGGAATTGTGGAATCCATGCCTGGAATGGATTTCCCAGAGCAGCTGGGGCTGCCCCTGGATCCCTGGCAGTGCCAAGGCCAGGCTGGGCAGGGCTGGGAGCACCAGGAGGGACTGAGGGAGCTGGGGGGGCTCAGCCTGGAGAAAAGGAGGCTCAGGGCTCAGCCCCAGTTGTGTCTCAGCCTGTCTCCATAGGAAAGGTTCTCCAGCCCTAAGATCAGCTTGGTGGCCTCCTCTGGAGCCTCTGAGACAAGAATCAAGAATGTGGTGGGGGAAAAAGGGACTTTTTAGGATAAATAGCTGAGGAGCTCCTTTGAAGGGAATGGGGATTTCAGGTGGGAGGAAGATTGATTTTGTTTAGCAATCCTTGAAGCCTGAGGATTGATTATAATGTGCAATCTGCTTGGCCTTTGGGAGATCCCATCTTTTATCTGGGCTCTTTTTTCCCTTTTCCCCTGTCAGCAGCAGTAGCTGTATTTGGACAGTGAATACCTTGAATTCCTTTCTGCTCTAGAGGTCTGGCAGGAGCCAGAACAAACTGAGTGCTGCAGGTGAAACCCAGGAGATAAAGACATGAATGTGTTAAGACAGTGGGATTTCTCCTTTTAAGAAAAGCTACAAAAATTCTTTTTGACTTACAAGGTCTTTTGTTTTTCCTCTTTCAGGGAGTTCCATCTAAGAATTCCCAGTATAAACCCATTCAGCAGGGTCAGCACAAGCATTCACAGAGCCAAGAGTGCACCATCAGTCCAACTGTACCCCAGAGCCTTTGGATGGACTTCAGGAAACATGGAAGCTGATGGTTCATTCACTGCAGGGGAGTTCTGCAGATGGAACTTGACTAAACTCTACTCCCCTTCCTTTTTCTACAGGAGTAGGGTGATTGGGAATGCAAAAGTGGGAGGGGATAAAGAATATCAATGGTGGGAGGGAAAATCCGAGGAACTGAATTTGCTGGCTCTTTTTTTTTTGAGGTTTTTTTTTTGGTATTACTTTTTGTGGGTCAGTGCTGGGTGATACATTTTTAAGCTTTTCTATCAAAGTACTTTTAATGACCCACAGAAACACTTTTCTCTCTAACCCAAGGGAGGGAGATGCTGTTTCACTCCTTGGCTACTCTGCTGTGGGCTACCTGTTTGTACCTGACTGTAGGGAGGTCATTTCATGTTGTGGATGGTTCATTCCATGTGTGAGTTGCTGTTTCCTCACAAGACCACATTGGTCTTGCAGGTGTTTGGAAGTGCAGGCTCAGAGCTGAGCTGCCAGTGCCTCTCCCACCTGGGCTGGCTGAGGAGGGGAAGCTGCACTTGAGGACTTGGGCTGCCAGCTCTGGGCATTTGGCTCTTTGGTTATTCCACACCACAGTTTGGATCCAAGCTCTGTGTGTCCAGACATTTGCCTCCAAGACTCTGTTCACAATATACCCAACCTGAGGTATATTTTACTTTGGTTTAAGTCCAGTCAGAAGGACTTTCTCAACTGGGGATGGAAGGATGACTCATTTCTGACTGATAATGAGGAAAACTTCCTCCTTTTTCTCTTCTGGTGCCAAGAACCTGCCCTCTGTTCCTCAGTGTGGAGGGAAGGGGATCCATTCCAACAGGTGTGGCTACACACCTGCTTTTGTGTGCAGTAATGTTCTGACCTCTTAAAAAAAAAAAAAAAAAGTAAAAGGTTGATTTTTCTATAATTGATATCTAAAAAAAGGAATTTAAAGCTTTTTATTAAGTATTGAATCTTTCTTATTTGCATGTGCAGTGAGGTGACCAGCATTTTGTGTCAACAATTGGACTGATGTGAAACCTGCCTTAATGTGTTTCTAAATATTGGGCTTCACCATGGGTACCTTGATTGATCCCTCAGTCTCTTCCAGTACATCTTTGAGCATTTTGGGGTAACTTGTGGCTAAAAATGGATTTCTCTGGGAAGGGAGACAAGGAGAGGGGAGGAAGATGAGAGCTGATAGCTTGGGGAATGTGTTGACTGGGTTGCAGAATTATTTTAGTCTTAGGGTATCCATTGCATAACCGTGCGTGGACGTCTCTGCTGAGAGAACACTACAGGGTGGTGCATGAAATACTGTGCCACCAACCAATTGTATGAGTTGTTGGTATCCCAAAACTTGGGGAAGAAAGTAGCTCCCAGAGCCTTTATTGTGTGAGAAAGATTAGCAGGGACAGCCAGGGGCCAGGGAATTGCCTTTGGGAGTAGTGCAGCTTAGTGATCCCTGAAAAATATCCCATGCCAAAGTGATTGATCCTTTATTCACTCTTTTCTTAAAGGTTTGAAACCACAAAATTGGTTGATATTGCTCATTTGAGTACTGCAAGGAGACTGAATTGTACTTTGCTGATGCTGTGCCAGGTGCTGCTTTGGGGAGCTTTACCTGGCACTGCAGGCAGCCACCATTATTTTCCTTTCTGAACAGTCTGTTACAGTTACTACTCTGTAAATCTGTCCTCTTGTAAGTCATGGTGTTGAATTAAATGTTTCTCACAAAGAAGAGGTTCCTCTGGTCTGCCTCAAGCCCTACCTGGAGTGAGTTTTGTGCTCTCCCTTTCCCTTTCTCCCAGTGGAGATGCTCTGGGGGTTCACTTGGGGGCTCCAGTCTGAGATTTGGATCTGGACATCTGGAGCCTGGCAGAGGGGAACATGGAGGGAAACTTGTGCAAAGCAATTCAATCTTCTGCAGAATCCTCTCCTGTGTCCCCAGCAAATTGAGGCTGCCAGGGTGTCCCATCTCTTGGGCAGGTTGCTGATAAAGTCACAGAGTTAAGGTGGGGAAAGATCTTTTAGATAATAAAGTCCAACCATCAGCCCAGCACCACCACATTCACCACTACACCCTGTCCCCAGGTGTCACATCCACACTGCTTCTGAGCACCCCAGGGATGATGGCTCCACCACTGCCTTGGGCAGCCTGTGCCAGGGCGGGACAGCCCTTTCTGGGGGGAAAAAACCCAAAAAATATATCCCTAATATCCAATCTAAACCTTCCTGTCTCAGCCTGGGTCTGTTCCCATGTGTCCCTTTGAATCTCAGCTCCAGCAGTTCATATCCCACCCCAGAGCTGTGACCAGGGCAATCCTACTCTGACACTGGCTCTTTGAAAACCTCTGTAATATCTGGTGATGTCTTTATCTGCCTTTACTTGGATCTAAACACACCACTGAGGCACCATACCACAGGTGATTGAGTGTTGACACTCATATTTTGATGCACTGAATATCAATTTAAATTGCTGCCAATTGTTTCATCCCCCCCCACCCCTTTCCCAGTTCTCTTTCCTTCAGTGTACAAAGTTTATGATGTTTTTTTATTGAAATGGAGGAGTTGCTTGTGCAAAGTGCCAAAAAAGGACCTGGGACTCCTCTCACAGCCAGAGAAAGTGAAATAACTTGACCTGCTTACCAAGATGAGGAAATGAAGTGTTTGTTTTCACTGACCATGATGTGTTTCGTGTTGCTGCAATAACAACTGGATTAGTTTGTGTTATCTCAGCCCTGGACGTGACTGACGGGCATGAAGTGTCTGCCATCACCAAATCTATCCCCAGGGTGGGGAAAGCAGCTGCTTGGAGGTACAACTTGTTAGGCACATGATTAGTAAATAATGTTCTTAAGAGCAATGAGTGGAATTGAGGCAATGCTTATATTTCATTAATTAATATTCTCTTCAGCATAGGGTGTTGATGGCTACAGTTTTTTCCTTTCCACTTTGTTTTACAAAATTCAAGATTTAAAGGGAATGTCATTTTCCTGCTGTTTGGGGAGTGTTATTTTTCCTGAATTCTAGCTGGATTAAATTTTCTGCAAACCATAGAATGAATTGGAATGGATATTGGTGCAGTCTGGGTTTGGCCAGCAGAGCTCTTGGAGTTGGTTCTGCCCAGGAAAAGTTGGCTCAGTTCACATCTGAAATTGAGCTTGCTGAACTGGCTGTTGAGCAAGGAAAGGGAGGAGTTTTCTTGCTTGTAAACTCAGCCCAGCAGGAAGAGCAGAGTCAGGGATGACATGGCTGGACTCTGGGAGTGCAGGCCTGTCAAGCCCTGCCTGGGGAGGCTCTGATGCTATGGCTGCAGTTCGGGGTGGAAAGGGCCTAAAGCCCACCCAGTGCCAGCCCTGCCATGGCAGGGACACCTCCCACTGTCCCAGGCTGCCCCAGCCCTGCCCAGCCTNCTCGTAGCACTCGGGGCCCGTCTCTGTGCCCAGCGTGCTGAGGGAGGCAAGGCACGGGCAGCGTTGGCATGTGGGGGCACACTCCACCCCCCTAGCCCGTCTACACCCCCGACGGGCGTGGCTGCTGTCCCCACCCCCATCCCTACAAAAGCCTTTTCCTTTTTACTCCTGCTCCCTTCTCCCTGCTTTAACCAATGAGAAATGCCTAAAACACTCCATCAGGGATGAACAAACTCCCCGGCAGGCCCCAGGAGGTCCCCACTTGCCCAGCCTGTCTCCACACCCCCAGCCCACGGTGCCACTCACAACTGGAAGCTCTCGTTGTACTTGGGGGCCCAGCTGTTGTTCTTGGATTTGGTGGCGAATTTCCTCTTCTTGTCACTGAGGTGGGGCCCGATGATGTTGACCTCGATGAAGGGCCGGAAGATGCCCGAGGTCTGCCACTTGAGGTCATTGGCAGCCACCACTGCAAGGAGGGGACAGGTGAGGCTCAGGGGGCACTGCCACTGCCAGACCCCGGTACCTGGCCAGCAGGACCCACCTTTGACGGTGACTTTGTGCTCGCCACTGCTGGGGTGGGTCAGGAGCTCCACGTGGATGGACACCTCCCCAACGGGGTCATCCACGCCAGAGCCTGGGACAGACAGAGGGACAAGATGGAAGTGCTGCTTTCCCTGGCATGCCCTGCCCAACACTAACCCCTCTGAGGAAGCAGGTCACCCACATGGGGTGAAAGGGGTGGGCATTAGGGGTGTCCCAAAGGGCTGTGGGCACAGCAGTGTGGGTGCAGCAGCTGTGATGGGCATGGCAGGACCCCCTCTGCCATCCCACCCCTGTGACCCCCCCTTGCTCAGGCAGGGCTGAGGGGTCTGTCCAGGATGGGGCACAGGACAGTGGCCCAGCTCCCCCTGCTCTGGCCACAGAGGGGTGACAGTGCCATGGGCAGGAGGGACCCAGCCAGGGCAGCCACAGCCCTACAGTGCCTCAAGGCTGACCCACCCCTTGTACCCCTCCATCCCGGGGACCACACCAAGCCCAGGGGTCCCCGAGCATGGGGACCAACAGGTGAGCCCACCCCACACCCCCCAGAGCTGTGCATGCACCCATGGGTGAGGGACGGGGTGCAGGGCAGAGGGACAGGCTCTGTGGGTCTGATGGGAGATCCAGCAGGGCTCAGTGGGCAGCTCTGAGGTGGGAAGAGCAGTGAAGGAGGACATGTCCCCNAAGGGAGATTTGGGGTTACTGGTTGATACAGGGAGAGGGTTTGGGGGGACTGGGATAAACTGGGATGGGGTTTGGGGACACTGGGAGGGGATTGGGAGGGATTGGGAGGGACTGGGATAAACTGGGAGGGACTGGGAGGGGAGCTGGTTAACCTTCAGGATGGATGTCCCTGGTTTTCCCTTTAAAGGTGGAAGTTCTGGATGAGGTGGGAATGCCCCCAGGTGCCCATCCCCTCCCAACTCCCCACACGAGTCACAGTGAAGGGTGTGCTTTTTAATGTCAGTTATAATAAAATATTTTTACAGAGCCCAAAAAATTCAAAATAGTGCAAAACATCTCACTGTCATGCATCCATGGGAGCCGCCGCGGGGGCGGGACAGACACACAGGCATCGGTGACACTGTGCTACAGGAGCAGGATTGGTCAGTTCCATCACATGCCGAACAGGACGCTCGGGGAGGGGGCTCAGGGCACCACGGAGGGGCGGCGGGGCCGAGCCCCGGCCCGGCCGTGCAGGAGCAGCCGCTGGAGAAGGGTGTAAACATTGAACAGAAACGAGAGAGCAACGTGAAACCCTCTGGTCCCGGCAAACCCTCGAGACAAAGGAGCATCTGGGGTACCCTGTTTTGGGATGGGAGGGGCTGGGAGAGCTGTACTGATTTGTGGGGTCCTGAGGCCTCAGCGTGCCCCAGAATCGGGGTGGCCACCCCAGCACCGCACCCCAGGCCTCCCAGGCACTCGCACGAGACATGCACACCACAGCACACAGAAATGGTGCTCACTGGGGAACTGGGGCACGGAACTGCTGCTCACTGGGCACTGCAGGGGGNCTTGGCAAATCTGGGCACCCAGAGGGATGCACTGGGTTCTGACACGCAGGAGCTGGTGGGGCTGCTGTGAGCCAGGTGAGATCCCCTGGGCAGCAAAGCCTGGCTGTGCTGTGGGAGCCTGGCAGGGGCTGCCAGGGCAGGAGGGGAATCAATCCCTGTGTGCGCCCTGAGAGCAGAGTCCTTCAATGTCCTGGCTGGGAAGGGACCAACGGCACCGAGTGCAGCCCCTGGCCCTGCCCAGGCACCCCAACAATCCACCCTGAGAGCCTGGAGAGAGCCTTGGGGCCAGGACCATTCCCTGGGCAGCCTGGGCAGTGCCCAGCAGCCTCGGGGGGCAGAACCTTGCCCTGAGCTCCATGCCAAGGCCTGGCACAGCTGCAGCCATCTGTGTGTGTGTCAGCAGCTCTGGGTGCTCCCCACTGCATTCCCCTTGCTTTGCCCCCCCCAGTTCAGGATCCACCTTGGCCATGTCCCTGCTCAGAGCCCTGAAGGTTCTGCTGCCCCCATGTCTGTAAGGTGCTGTTTGTCCCTTCCACCCTCCGTGCACTGGCAGAAGGTCAGGAGCACCTGGGAAGGTTCTGGTGCTCACCTGGGGAGGTGCACGGGGTTCCTCCTGGGGCAGGGAGCAGGTGGGGCACAGCTGGATGCAGCACAGCTGGATGCACATCTGGGCTGTGTCTGGGTGGGTGGGTTGAGGGGCTGTGGCTCTGCAGGGATTGCCTGGCTCCCACAGCTCTCTCTGGGCTCTCTGCCCTCCTCACCAAGCTCTCCCTGCAGGTCAGGGGTGTCCCTATGTCCCCTGCTCTGGCCACAAATCCCTGCCAGGAGCCAGCAGAGCAAGGAGCCCCTCTCCACCCCACTCCACAGGAGCTCTGTGTGCCCTGGGGGCTCCTGCTGGCCCTGAGCCCCCCCTGCCTGTCCCCTGTAGGTCAGAGCCTCCCTGAGGGGGCTGATGGAGGGGCTGGGCAGCACCACCCCTGCACCCACCCCAGAGTGGGAAAGAGCCCTTTGTGTGAGCCTGGCTACAGGGAGGGGATGGGGAACTGCTGGGATGGGCACTGCAGCCCCTCCGTGCTGTGTCCCTCTTGCCCTGCATGGTTTGGGGTGTGCCAAACTGGCCGGGACTGCTCTGATCAGCCCTTCTATGCCCCAGGTTTGATCTGCTCTGGATCAGCCCCTCAGTGCCCAGGTTTGATCTGCTCTGATCAGCCCCTCTGTGCCCAGGTTTGATCTGCTCTGATCAGCCCCTCTGTGCCCAGGTTTGATCTGCTCTGATCAGCCCCTCAGTGCCCAGCTTTGGCTCCAGGCAAGTGGAGCAGCTCAGAGCCTGTGGGGTGCTGGGGACCATCCAGGTCAGCACCTCAGGACACCTCCAGGTCTCTCCTACCCCAGAGCACCCTGGTGCTTCCCCTCTGCAGCTGTGACACCTCTGACCCCCTCTGCCCCCACAGATGGATGTACCAGAGTTCTGGGAGAGGCCCAGGCCTGTGGTGAGCAGAGGGGAGCTGAAGGCACCAGCAGGAACATGAGCACTGCCCCTGGGAGAGCTTCTCCCACTCTGGGGGTGCAGCTGTGGCAGCAGAGCATCCCCTGCAGGTGCTGTCCCCCTGTGCTGGTGCCCAGAGAGGCACAGAACCGGGTGAGCTGGGGCTGGGCTCTGCCTCTGGGGAGATGGGGAAGGGAGGGATCCCTCCTGGGGGAGCCTGGGGTGCTCTGTCCTGCTCTGCCTCTCCCTGTGCTGCAGGACCCCAGCGAGTGCAGGTGTGGGAAGCCCAAGGTGATTTTGTGGGCTGGCCAGGTGTCCTGGGTTACAAGATGTGCTGGGGTGTGTGTTCTATTTCCACCTGTCAGAGCTGGGGCAGTTCTCTGCTGTNCAGGGCTGGGAGCAGCCTGGGACAGTGGGAGGTGTCCCTGCCATGGCAGGGCTGGCACTGGGTGGGATTTAGCCTCCCTTCCAACCCAAATCAGTCTGGGATGATTCTGTGAGAAATGTGGGGTTTTTTGGAGAGGGAGCAGGAGGGTTCCCCTGTCTGTGTTCACTAATCCCATGTTTAGTTGTGCATCTACAAAGGATGCTCTCTATTGCAGAATAAACATTCTAGCTCAGGCATTGTCACTTGTGCCATTGCACACTTGGCCTGGAGTGAGCAGCAGCTGCAGAGCTGTTCCTGAGGGAGTTGGAGCTGTGCTGGCACTGAGGCTCTGCTGAGCTTCTGTTGTTTTTTCTCTGTATTGGAAACCCCTGAATGGGCTGTGACACCTGGTGTGCTTCAGTCCAGTGTTCTGGAACCCCTGTCTGTACATGGGATTCTGTTCTTTTTGGGGACATCATTCTGTAGATTACACAATCCCACAATGGTTTGTGTTGGGAAGGACCTTCAAGCCCACCCAGTGCCACCCCTGCCATGGCAGGGACACCTCCCACTGTCCCAGGCTGCTCCAACCCTGTCCAGCCTGGCCTTGGGCACTGCCAGGGATCCAGGGACAGCCACAGCTTTAATGGTCAGACACCAAATTGTTACAGGTGCCACAAGCATCTGGGAATGAGTTCTGCTGGGAGATGGGGAAGCACCTGGACAGATTTCCCTGGAAGCAGCAAGCTCCTTCTCTTTCCTCCTGTGTTTAGTGAAGTTGGTTTTACTGCATGGTCCTGTTCTGGTAAAGAAGCAGAGTTGTGCTGAGCAACTTCCCTGCTTTGTAGACTCATTTCTTCTGTTAATGGAAGACACAAGGCTCTTTAAGAACTGCTAATTGCTCAGGTTAAAAAAACCCCAAAGGCTGCTCTGTGTCATGTGTGGAAGTCAGACTCTCAGAAGAAAGTGTGAGCTAGTTCTGCTGAAAATGGAACAGATCAGAGGCACAACATCTACAAACCAGGTTTGCCAAAGTGCTTAAAATAACAACTGGCAGTTTCCCTGGGTGTTGTTGGACTTGATGTAGAAATTTCCCAAAAGGACTGAGAGAGCAGAGACAGAAATGGCAGTGCTGGGAGTGCAGCTCCGGAGGGGGTTTGAAAGGGACTTGTCAGTGGCTTCAGAGCTGCTGATGTGGTGGCCTGGGGTGGCCAGGAGTGTGTTTGGTGTTGGAACTGCAGCGGGGACATCCCTGAGGAGCTGCTCAGGTCCCTGTGCAGCCCTCTTGGCCTGCTCAAGGTGCCTGGTGGAGTTACCAGAGCCGGTGTTGGTCATGCCTGAACTTCCCCCATTATCTGGGAACAAAAGGAGCTCAGCCAGGAGGAGTTGTACCCTTCTGTCTCAAGTTGTGGAAACCCCACTATTTTTAGCTGTTTCTACTTACTAGATTAAATATTTTGGGAAGTGAAGGACCGGACCAGAGGGGAGGGAATGTCTCAAGCTCAGATTTGGTTTTCCTGTGTCGGTCCCTGGAGGAGAAACTTCTCTCAATAGGTGCAAAACTGGCATGGAGCTATGCCAGGCCTTGGCATGGAGCTCAGGGCAAGGTTCTGCCCCCCGAGGCTGCTGGGCACTGCCCAGGCTGCCCAGGGAATGGTGCCAAGGCTGCCAGAGCTGCAGGAGCTCCCAGGGGTGCTCAGGGTGGGGGTGTTGGGGTGGCTGTGCAGGGACAGGGTTCCCTGAATATTTCAAGCTGGGATATTCCAAGATTCTGTGCAATAATCCTGGAGCCTGCCAGCTCTCTGAACAGCTCATGGCATGGAGAAGGCAGGTCTGGAGTGGGAGGATTCCCAGAGCTGTGCTGGTGCTGTTGGATCTGTGTAAGGAATTGGGATGGATATGGACACATCTCCATTAAATTGAGCTTTTTGGGGGGAAAACAGAAGTTATTCAGCTTTCTCTGCAACAGCCACAGAAGAAAAGGGCTGGTGGGAGTTTACAGCTGAGTCCTCTGGAGAGAAAGCAGGAGGAGAGGAAGAAGAGGCAAAGCAGGAGGAGAAGCAGCTTGTTAACTGTTTTCATTAAACTTTTTAGCATCTGGAAGATGATGAGTTAGTTGTCAGGTGAGAGGAGGGGAAAGAATTAAGGAGGCAGTTCCTGTGGCTGTTACCTTGCTGGGAAGATCCCACAGAAGTTTCAGGTGTCCTTCTCAAAGTATCAGAAATTGTAATTCTGTCTCTAGAAGAGTCACAGAGCCAGCCCATGTGGCTTGTTTTGGGGCCATGGAGAAGCAAGAGTTAATGTTGCCTGGGATCTGAAATGGGAACAGAGTGGGTGGATTGAAGGGGGGGTCTAGCCCAGACACTGATGGTTCCTGCAATTAAAAACAATCCCAAGCCAAATGCTTGAATTAATCCCGAAGACAGTGATGGGGAAAGACAATTCTGTGTAAATGGGAAAATGAGACTTGAGTGTGGAGTGGGAATGTCTGGGCATGTGGGGTCCTGGGGGAGCTGGGAATTGCTCTGTGGTTTTCCAGGGAAGGAGAGTGCTGGGCCAGCACGCTCAGGAAGGTTTTCTCAGGTCCTGGCTGTGGAAGGGCCCTGGGACAAAGGGTTTGGAGGCTGCTTGGCAGTGACCCATGGGGGGACACCCACGGCAGCAGGGACCTGCTGTGGTGACCCTGTGGGGAGGGTGATGGGGATCCCTGGGCTCGGGGGCTCCAGGCTGCTGAGAGTGAGCAGCAAAACTGGGGCTTGGAACTGGATGGTCCCTTCCACCCAAGAGTGCTCTGTGAAACAGAAGCTGAAGATCCAAGGGGAAAGACAGATTTGATGTTTTCCTAAGTTTAGTAACCTGGCGAGAAGGAGGAATCCAGCGGTCCTGGTGCTCTGTCCCGAGTGCCTGGGAGGGGCGGGNCCTGGAATGGATTTCCCAGAGCAGCTGGGGCTGCCCCTGGATCCCTGGCAGTGCCCAAGGCCAGGCTGGGCAGGGCTGGGAGCAGCCTGGGACAGTGGGAGGTGTCCCTGCCATGGCAGGGCTGGCACTGGGTGGGCTTTGAGGTTCCTCCCAACCCAAACCATTGTCCATGCTCCTGATCCCTCACTTACTTGGACACCATTGTCACTCTGTCCCAGCTGTGCC